ATATAGAGCAGCATCAACCTGTTCCGCTCGTTTCATCAACCCCCTAAACCCTTCTAAACCCTAAACCCTTCTAAACCCTTCTAAACCCTAAACCCTAGTAAACCCTAAACCCTTGTAAACCCTAAACCCTTGTAAACCCTAAACCCTAAACCCTAAACCCTCATCTCACAGCTCTGCGTGTTTTATAAACCCTCAATCGATGCGCTTGGTGATGCAGCTGCAGCTGTGTTTCCTCTATCTCCTCTAGGCTCGGCAGCGGGGCCCCCACTCTCCCCTCTGTTACAGCCTGCACGCAAACCCTAAACCCTAAACCCTTGTAAACCCTAAACCCTTGTAAACCCTAAACCCTAAACCCTTGTAAAGAATTTTATTTAAACCCTAAACCCTAGACTTTAAAGGGAAAAAAAATATATAGATTTCGTCTTTTTGCTGCTGGTACAGATGATGATAATGATTGTCTATTTTTTAGGGTTTAGGGTTTAGGGTTTAGGGTTTACGGTTTGTGCTGCATCAGCAGAGTGGTTTTGCTGCGCCTCTTCTGCTTTCTGCTGCAGCCGCTGCAGCTGCTGCTGCTCTCTTAAAACCTTCTTATCCCATAAACCCTTAACCCGCGGAAACCTGAAACAAAACCCTAAACCCTTGTAAACCCTTGTAAACCCTTGTAAACCCTTGTAAACCCTTGTAAACCCTTGTAAACCCTTCTAAACCCTTGTAAACCCTAAACCCTAGAATATGATACGTGCGAATCTGTTGAGGGTTTTATCTTTGGCTCCTCTTACTCCTAAACCCTAAACCCTTCTAAACCCTAAACCCTAAACCCTAAACCCTTCTAAACCCTAAACCCTTGTAAACCCTAAACCCTAAACCCTACTTGGTGTGTATAACCCAGCAGCTAAAAGCATCTCTCAATAACTCCGAGAGAATGGCTCTCCTTATTATTTCTATTTTGTTGCTGCAATCTAACAAATAAACCCTCAGCATATAAGCTTGGGCATCAAGGTTCATGCTGCTGCTGCTGCTGCTGCTGCTGCTGCTGCTGCTGTTGCTGTTGCTGCTGCTGTTGATGATGTTGCTGCTGCTGCTGCTTCGACCCAGCATTGGTATGTTACGCTGCTGCAGCAGCATTTGCTGCTGAACAAAAAAAGGCTGCTGCTGCTGCTGCTGTTGCTGCTGCAGCTGAAGCAATAATTGCTGCTGCTGCTGCTGCTGCTGCTGCTGCTGCTGCTGCTGCTGCTGCAGCAGAGTCCCGCCTGCAAGAAGGGGAAGCTGGCGAAGATTGGGATCTGCTGCTGCTGCTGCTGCTGCTGCTGCTGTTGCTGCTGCTGCTGCTGTTGGTGCTGCTGCAGCTAAAAAAGGGGCATTGTCTTTCATCATTGGTTGCT